AGAAATAAATGTATATAAATTGAATGTACTAAAAACTAAGAGGTCAAGTCACAGCAAGACCTGTCAAAGAATAAAAAAAAAAAAAAAAAAAAAATACCACTAATTGTCATTTGTAGTATTGATCACTTCGGACAAATGTATCTATTAGCTTTTACACTTGTCTATTCCAAAGCAAAAGATTTCTATTGTTGGGTATTGCAACAGCTATCCAGAGTGCTAACTATTTTAATAGACAATTCGGATGTAGTGACATTTATTACTGATAGAGATTTGGCACTTATGTCTGCAATATCCACCATATTTTCTAATTCAAACTATCAATTATGCACTTGGTATATTTTTAAAAACATGAGAAATAAGCTTAAAGGCATCAACATTGATAAATTTATTAAAATTGTTTGAAGTCTCATATATGATGATCTTTCAGAAAGTCAGACAGAGCAAGAAATTGAAGAATTGTGGACTCAATTTCCAAGTGCGAAAAAGTATATGTTTGATGCTTGGATGCCATATAGAGAAAGTTGGCTTGCACTATATACAAAAGGAAATATAAACCTTGATATAAAGTCGACTCAGTGTGTTGAATGTCTGCATGAAAAACTGAAGGCCATTGAAAATCATGTTACTCCAATTGATAGGTAAATATAGTAACTAGTTTAGAAATTGGTCTTTAGCTCTTTTCAATTTAGTTGAATCGATGAATTTTCAGATTTTTTTTTGTCTGGGAGTTTAATGAATCTGTGAATCCATGAGTTTATATATGCATACATTCTACATATAACTAATTGTTAGCTATCTACATATTATGTTATAACAATCTAACAATTACAAATAATTATTATATTATATGCAGGCATATACATATATGAGACTTACTGATTCACAGATTCATGGAACTCAGACAAAAAAAGAAATCTAACCACATTGTATTGGCTATCTATCCAAACAGTTTTGTATACGTAGCCCAAACTTCTTGCCAATTTCAATTTCATAGCCATCTTTCATTCTTTTGCTTGTAAAAACTCTTTTACTTTTTTTATACTTTGTCTAGCTCAATCTTATTTTTTTTCATTTCCTTCTTTGAAAAATTCATCGATCCAACTAAGTCAAAAAGAGCAATAATGTTAACTAATCAAATTAAATAACTAATTGACTAATAGTTAGCATGTTAACAATTTTATTTAGAAATTCTATTGCTAACTATAGTCGATTACACAGGTTGAAATCAAAAATATCTTCCCTGTATCTTCAAATAATCGGCCTAGGTAATAGAAGGGTAATATTGTGATGGCTATGAACCGATATGATGGGGTATTAAAAAAGCTGATATGCTAAAGATTATGGTAAAATTGGATAATTAACATTCGCATATCGTTAAGATGATTTGTTTATCATGTAGAAGATATAAGGCTGATATGAACAAGATTTTTTA